CAACCTTGTTTTGTTTGGGTCTGTTGGATGTGGAGACTGGATTTTTTTTTTTTTCTGGTTTGTGGCTCTTTGGGAATGCTAATGGCTGTCTGCTTTCCTGCCCTTGTAATATCTGTTTACCATTTTGCTGGCTCATAAGTTGGTCATTTGGCACTCGTAACCTAACCAAACAGATCAAAGGCTTTCAAAGGGCAGACTGTATGAATACTTCCATCTCCATCGCCAATGCCCTTATTTTCCCTGTCTCCTTCCTCACCTCAAAACTTTGTTTGTGTGTTTCAACAATGAAACAAACCTCTGAACCAAATGTGTGAGAGCCTAGTGGTCATCTCTGGGCCACCATTAGCTTATGGTAACCTCTTCGTTATTGGATGGGAACTAGAGACAAAGTGGCCTTTGTTCCAAAGGTTGGTTTGTTTGTTTATTTTATTTCAAATGGCTGTGGGCTATGACTCTTCTAATACGTTTCCCAGGGACAAGGTGAAGAATGGCTTCATGGTTTCTTTATTTACAGTGCCTTTAGACATTACAAGTTTTTGTCGTCTTTTCAACACAAAATGAGGAGCACAGACATAAATCACTCTGCTCCTGGGATTGCTGCACAGCAGTCTCATCAAGATTTATAAGAGACAGACTATATGAGGTAATAATAAACTTACAAGGACACTTGCAACATGCAGGAATTCTTAAAGCTATTGACTTCATGAGGAAAAGTTTGTCCCTTTCTTAGAATGTATGGTGCAACACTGCTGGAATCCAACATCTCTGTTGGGCTGGCAGCTAACAATAGGACTGGGGATATACTCAATTTTTTGGCTCATGAAAAAAACGTAACTACCCATCATGTGTTACAAATATCGAAAGGTTATAAACACCACCACAAACCATCCTTTTCCAACAATGTGCTTGAACATGTGTTTGAAGTTAAGCATGCACTTTGATTAAGCAGGGGTGGACCAAGCCTGAATGCGAATGGAATGGTTATGTAGCTACATACTCCTGTTGTATGGCTGAGTATGTGTGACGTGGATTCTTGATACATGGAGAGCTACAGCCTTGACAAATCAGGGTCTAGAATTAAATATAGTAATGTATGCTTTGCTGAATTGGCATCCGAGAAAAAACAGTAATCAAAGTCAGGCCTGGCGACTATCAGCAAAAGGTACTAGACACCAACTCAAGGAACAGAAGTACAGTTTAAGATAACTATGGGGATGTCATAAAGAAAAAATGGATCTATTAAGTAAAAGTCTTATACTGGAATTTAGGAACAGCCATTCAATAGGAGATCTGTGAAACTGTGAAATAGGTCTTAGTGAAGTGATGAAAGTTTCAAGTCTCAAGACACTGAAAACTAGACCGAGTGGTACACTAGTAAGTGGTAAGAAACAAAACCGAGAAGGTCTTGATGAGATTTAAGCAACAAGTAAGAAAATGTATTTTTTTTCTGTTATAAAGACCTAGATATCCATTTCTATTTAAACTACCATGTACCTGGATAGAAGCAGCATAAAATCTTCGTTAATATTTTTTAAAAAGGAAAATAAATCAGCAAGATGTTTCCATGGTGACCTTATCCTATATGTAGGTAGCTGGTGAACTGATGTTGGTTATTCATTTCAGGGTTGAATGCTTATGTTGTCAAGTAGTTTGAGGTTCTGTTTTTATGGTATTATGCACTGGATGGAAGTTGTACAGTGAATTGCTAATGTACCTCCTGCAATAGAACCCTAGGTTGTTTAGGGTGAAGATTAAAATTTTGGACCCTGCATGTCTGTTCTTAATCAACTTTCTCTTGACTCCAGTTTGAGTTTACCATACATGATTGCAAAATAAATCCCTTGGTTCTAATTTTTTTGGACAGTTTTCACTAGAACTAATAGTTTGGAGGCTTATACTTGAGTCTGTATTTTGTCCACATGTAGAGCATTATGTCATGTCCCCATGATTTCAAGTGACTGACGTAATGTGTCTCTTAGCAAGGACCGTCCTTGAGTGAAACCCCTAGTTTAACACTGATAGTAGTAGTTCAAGCGATGGACTAGAAGAGCACGTACATGTGTGATAAATTACCACTCAGTAGAAATCGAGTGACTTACAAAGGAGCACTTACAGTACTTTCTTAAAATGCACCACTCAGTTGTTTATGGCTTTATACCCGAACGCCTTAATTAATGTCTGTACTCATCTTCCCACAGAGGTGTGACTTTTGTGTGCTGCAGTGTAAGGTTGAACCTAAACTGCTGCCATGAGTTTAGCTATCACTTGGATTCTACTTGGTGCTTTCTCAGACATGGTTCTTCCTCTTTGGGAAGTGATCTGCCTCCCTGTTATGTGCTGGGTTGTTGGGGCTGTCCGGCTTCTGCTCTCTTTTCTGAAGGTGGTGAGTGATGGACTTCCCTTCCTCTGGCCCGGAGTCACTGCGAGTGTGACCAGTTAGGGGTCTGTTTCCAGTTTCAGGTGGAGCAACCCCAACACTTACTTTTTGTGTGGTTCTCTTACCAACAAAGGTTTGAAGATGACTCCTGGGTATGTGTTGACAGATTACAGCATCTGAAAGAGAGAAGTATTCTTTTGTACAGCTGTCTATGGAATTTACTGGACTAGGAGATCAAAGACTGAATACGCAGTAAAAGGGTTGTATAACTTTCTGACCAGTAAAAGTCAGAAAGGAGGTGTAAATGATGGGGCCAGTCAAGTTTCATACTTCAGAGTATTGTCATACCATTTGGGAAGGCACAACAGCAATGTATGCAGAGGCCAAGAGAGCCTCTGTTCTCTCCCTGCAGTCATTATGAAATTGTTAGCTTAAACAGTATTGGGAGTTTTCTCTGGAATCCTTCTTTAATGTCCAGCTGCATCAGGCAGTATAGACCTTCTGAGCATTTAGATCATACTGCGTTGTGTGGTTTGGTGTATTTCATAAAGAGTTTGTGGGGTGATTTACCAGAATAGCCAAAACCTGAAGGAATATACTGAGATTACATTCAGAATATTCATGCCTCTTTGGCTATAGCCCAGTTATATCTTTCCAGTGAACTTTCCTATGGATGTTGCCTGTGTACCTAGATGGTCTGATTATGAAGAATCGGAGTCTGGAAAATACTACGGTGAGACCTGTCAACCACATGTTAAGCAGGTCCTCTCAGTTTGATGGCACAAATCTTCCTCCTGGAAAGTGTTTTACTGTCTATGCAAATGCACTTCAGCTGGGGTCATTCTCAGCCTGTGGAAAGGTCTCAGGGCAGTATTTGTGGCTAGAATCACATAGCGGTTAGTTAGTGCGGCAATACCAATTTTGTTTTCAAATTCATGTATTTTTTACTGTCTGCTTTCAGGGAGCCTATGTGATGGTACAACCAGTCAGTGTTATTTGCTGCCGGTTTTGGATACTATATTTGTCCGGAGAAAGTACAGAAGAAGTGGCCTAGGGATGAAAATGCTGCGTGATTTCTGTCAGTCTTTCATGGCTGAGGATGCCTTGGGGATCAGCTGCCCTATTTCTGCTGCGATGTATCAAGGTAAATTGTTTGATGTGGCAGCGTTAGGTAAGGGTCATGTATAATGTATAAATTTCAATATGGTCTTGGTAGGATTTTCTTAACTGTGTAAGAGTTCAGTGCACTTGTCTGAACTGAACTGTTGTTAGCGTGCAACTGGTTACTTTTCTTGAAACATCTGGAATTTCCTGTAGAAAGGTAGGCCAATATTTATGTAAGACAATGAGAAGCATAAAACTCATACTGCCTGTTTGACATTTTGCATTCTTATCTCTCTGTCTTAGAAGTAGAACTGTGTCATTGTCCTAGACAGCGACTTACCCATTTTATTTGACAACAGGGGGAAAAGAATCATAAGATGTTGCCAAGCCTACACTATGCACATAATGCTCTTGTAGATACTGCGTTTGTAAGAAATTAGATTTAATAAGCCATATACCTGGGTTCTGCTCATTCATCCAGTCACATCAGTACTTGTTTCGTATTGACTTTGAACACTTGGCACTTTTAAAAGATCATTAAGTAGTTATATATCCTTTTTGTGTTCAGGTTGAAGTTCCGGTTTTGCTAGTAAAATTTACAGAAAATACCTGTGCTCACATTATTTGTAAAACTGTTTTCTTTAGAAAAGCATTTTTTCCTAAAGTTTCTCTCTGCACGGTATACAGTCTTTACCATCATTTTTTTTGGGATGTTTCTATTGACTTACAACTTCACAGCCATTTCCTAACAAGCATCAACAGAATTTTGACTGTATGTGTTCTTTTTCTTGGTCAGTATGTGTCATTGAATTATACAAATGTACCCCAATGTATAGAAATGTACCCCAGGAGTTTCTAAGGTACTGCTACTTCTAAATTCAGGAAGGAATAGTATTGACA